AGTTCTAGAAACGTTGCGTCACAGTAGTCATGTGACTCGATGACGCAACAGTGTGTTAGAATAACTATTAATGTCACCTTCACATAACTAGTACAAAGTATGTCTTAAGTACAGTATACTCAAGTGATTGTTTAAAATTTCCATACAAGTAGTTATGGTATTCTTGCAACCTGGATGTTAGAAGTTCATAAACATGTGCTAATCATTTAGTTTAGGTAAAGATTACATAAGATAACAACTGTCTCAGAAGCCTTCACCAGTTTGTCCCTGTGTCTGCATTCCCTCCCTGGAGAATGGAAATCCTATCTCAAGGAGTGACACGGGTACTTGTTCAAATTGGCATGAAGTGGAGTTCTTTCCTTGTATATGTTATTTGGAATAGTCACTGACATAGATAACGTATGGAGTACACTACACTAGAACTCCTTTGTTTGGCTTGAAAGCATGGTTTAACATGCTTCTTCCTGTCTCTGTCCTGTGCAGGCATTTGAAAAGCCTCTAGAGTCCCAGCAGCAAATTTGAATACAAAAAATTAGAAGCTGGACTATTGTGCATGAAGATTTGTTTTACTTGTTCATTTTTGTTGGCTCGTTTTTTCTTTGCTGTCCATTTTCATTTCATTGCAATTTCTGCTGTGTTGCAGAAACTTTTGGCTGCCCATCAGATATCAGTGTACCTGAATACTACAAAGATGTTGTACCATTTTGTTGTTGTTTTTTCTATAACTGTGCCCTCAAAATTCTCTTATTTCACAAGAACATATACAATACTATAATAATACTGCAGAGAATGCTTTACATATCAATTGAAACAGCATTAAATATCATTGTCTCAAATTCAAAGTCAGTTTCCATACTTATTAAGAAAATATTTCATAGATGAAATCCTAGTTGCTTATTTTTCTCTTAAAGATAATCAATGCATTTTGAGTTCTTATTAAGTCTGATTTTCTGCTATTATTATTAGATCAACAGAGGAAGCTTTACAAAATCATTTAATGAGATATTACATCACCAATGAAAGCCAACATGGATTCATCAAAGGAAAACCTTTCCTTATACTATGAAGTAAAATGGCCATATGCTCCAAAACAATTTTATTTCACTGAACATTTCCTTTGAACAACTTTTCAAAAGCATACTTCTACTCAAATTGATTGGCTCATAGTTAGCATACTAAGTATATCATGGAGTTCTTTAAGAATGGTACCAATTATTTTCTGTAAAATAAATGATGGGTTTGAATTTCTACTTTTCTCACAAGTGAGTGTGATGGACAGCCTTGAAGAAGGACCAGAATGGTCCCTTGTTGTCCATATGTTTAATACATTTATGAATATGTATGGAAAAACTGTATTTAGCCATTTCTGATGTCACCAAGGAACTAACTCATTTATTATATATCAATGAAACATAAATGATAAAAAAGTTTGTTTTTTAAACCAAAAATTTAGAAAAGTATATTTTAAGTGTTGAACAACTGATTGCTTAAAAGTATGTTATAAAATTCACAGAAAATTAAGACAAGTAAGAATACAAGCATAAAATTGACAATGCCTTAAAAATCTATAACCTAAGAGTATGCAACTTATCTGTTAATAAAATTTTCAATCTTACACTATGATTGATGTTCATTATATTAAAATAAAACTATTTTTTGTAATTTTGCCTAATCTTTATAAATACTAATTGTTTATTTTACATCATTCAGGCCTATTAGGCTACACCTAAGTTATTTAATTTAATTTTAAGACATAAAAAATATTATCAAGTAACATGTATGCTCAAGTAACCTAATGAAATTATCAAATACATCTTTAACAAGGTTATTTTTCAGCAATTCATACTTTACCTTACAAGATAGTTTTATCTAGGTATGCAGAGATGTAGTATTGTATAAGGTTCATGGTCAAGTTATGGTGCAATGTAAGAAGGCTTGTTTTTCACTTATGATGTTAATTAAATACATTAGATGAAACATATTTTGTTTGATTTGCTCAAAAAATAAAAGAGTAGACATTTATATACATAAATTAATAAAAGCTTTTCCCTCAGTAAAATTAGATGACGATATAAGATGATTTACCAAATTGCAATTATTAATCTACTTAACTTGATTATATGTAACTTATATATATGGCTGAACTTATGTTTCCACTATATTTACAATGGGGTCCTTATGAGCCTGTTTTTGAAATCCATTTTTCTGAACCATTTATGAATCAAACTGCTTATGAGTTCATAATTATATTGGTTACAGGGATCCTAATAACAACCGAGTCACATAAAATAACTTACACAAAAATACCATCAATATTGGAATTAGTCATATTAACTACTACAGGAGTAATCTATGCATTTTACATACAATGAGTGATTTCACCCTATTTTTGTGATCAGTTTTTTTTTACCATGAATATTGTAACAAGCACAAACATAACAACATCTGCTGATTTTATTTTGTAGTTATTCCTTCAATTTTGGAGACTGTTTCCATATAATTGTATGACAGTTAATGTTTCCTACTAATGGCTTGCAAAAGATTATGACAAAAGTATAAACTCACAAACCTTTTCTAGTACTGGAAAGTAGATAAACACAGAGACAAGTCGTAACTTATTTTGATCTTTTCAGATCTGTATTGAGAAGGTAAGGAACACATTATTGGACAACTAATTAATACAATGGATATCTTGGGCATTGTGGTGGAAGGTCAAATATGCCACATAATGACTTACATCTGTGCAGCTAGTCCACTGCCCAAATGCATTATGGACTTCAAGACAACATCTAGAGTAATTATAAGTTATCAATAAACTGACTTTATGAGTATGATCTGAAATCAAGAACTGTCGTCCCTGCAGTTGTTTGAACTTGTGTCAAAACACATGAAACAAAATTAATGCTATTTGGTACCTGCATTCTTAACAGATGAGTCAAGGTTTCATGTCTCTACAGATGAACAATGAATTTGTGTCTGGAAAATCAGAAGTGGGTGATAAGTTCAGTGCAACATTGTTGAATTTAACCATTGTACACTATTCATTAACCGAACAAAACTACAGAGCATAAAATACAGTAATAGTGTAGAAAAGCATACAAGTATTATTGTGTTTCTGAGAGGTAAACTTACTACTTGATGCTAAACTGATATAATATTAGGTCCAGTTGTATGACATTTCATGGATGTAATCAGAGCAAATTTGTCTGTATGCAGAATAAAGATCATTATTTGAACAACAATAAGATTTGATATTAATCCCACAAAATGCATCTAGGGCTGCCTCAGATGCTATGTGAGTCAATAAATATAACATTATCTCTGACCAATTAGAAGTATACCATACAGAAGCAAAGACCATATTAATGCCTTTATTCTTTTTTTTTTGCCAAGCGTGAAACTTTTAGACAAGTTCATTGAGTCAGAACCTATCTCAGATAACTTTATCAATGTAAGAAATGATGTATTATCAATGAAAGTGAATCATTATGTTCAGTGTATAAATTCTACTCCTAGTTGAAATATATTCCAATTTCAGCTTGGTTGGTAATTTGGTGGAACAGTCTAGCTATAACATCTTGCCAAATTAATATTTTGAAGTTGTTTAGTTTGCACGTATGCATTAAAAATCATTCATCTGTAGAGGATTAAGCTGTGATTATGATTACCACATTATTGAGAGTTGGAACTCTTTATGTGATACTAAGTAATCCAATTATATATATCAGAACTAAAAATTAAGTTGTAAGTTATTACATAATTATTGTAAATTTTATAAGTGATAATAAAGAATACCTGCATGAAAATAATATTTAAGATCAAAACAAATCTGAACAGGTAAACAATGGATCAATGAAATATGACATTTATTGTTGAATAAATACAAATGCTCCACTCCTACACAGAAAATGGGCCAAGAGGTATTTTTATCATTCTTCAATTAATTAAGAAACTAAATTTTTAATGAAATATATATATACATATATACATAAAAACATTACTGACATTCAGTAATTTAAGGTGGATCAAATTAATATATGTAGTTTAAGCTTCACACATTCATTAAAAAATATAGAAGAGTTATTTCCTTATAACTTTGCATTAAAATTAGTACATGTGGTAACAGTTCAAATATTTAATGTACGGTTTATTTCAATTATTTGTACACCATCTTTAACATTTGATCCTTCTTTTAAAACATTATACAATGAGGGTGATCTCAATTATACAAATGTTTGTCACCGTGATCTTCTTAATAATGTTCTTATGCCTAATAATGTTTGTATAGTTTATAAATTGGTGAATAGTTTATGTATGTCATCCTTGATCAAGAGTTCCAGACTGAGGGTGGAAATTTGAAGTGAAAAGTATCACTAAATCCTCCATAATGATATATAAATGTTCTTAAGCCTTTGAAATTGCCTGTGTTAAGTATCTTACAAATTTATTAGCAAATCCAAAAGTATAAACCTTTTTGTTGAAAACTGATCTTTACTTTAGCTTCTAATTTGTACTATATCATAAACACATCCTGGTCACTAAGTATAGAGAAAAAGAACTGTCACATGATACCAATATGTCAGACAATAATCTAATGCCACTAATGATTTCAATGATGCTCTTTCACACATCTGTTTATGAGCACCTAAAACTAATATTAGCTTTCACTCTTAAAAGTTTCTTATCATATTCAAAAAACATCAAATATTTTTCTTCTTTAAAGCCATTATTGGTACAAGTCAACTGAAGCGATTAAACAATTAAGAACCAACCACCATTCTCCAGTACTCGATGCTAACCTACATAATGAAAAACTGCAAACGATCATTTCAAAACGTATCTAATGCCTCAGTTTACAATATATTTTCCAGCTTTGTGCCACAGCATTAAGTAAAATCAGTTTTAAAGAGGAAGACAGCAAGAAGTTCATATAATGCTTAAAAGACATTACTGTTAAAAAGTTAGTAATTGTGATATTCAATCAGTCAAATCTCTAAACTATGGCCTTAATATAATGACATGTACCACTTACAAACTCTAACTCATATTTTATGCTGAAAAATAGTGAAAATGCTTGTATAGCTAAATATTGAAAGATGGCAAATTCAAAGTTCTAAAGAGCATTTAATTAACACATTTAAAACTACAATTTATAAGACAAGCAATAAACAACTATGTATGGTGATATAGTGAGTTATTTTGCATGTTATTATACTGAATGATTCATAATTTAAGGACATAATAATTCCAAAAACACTAACGGGACAATCAATTAAGCAAAATCTGATGAAAGTTCATGAAAATTTTACTGTGAGAAATGTAATTACAAAAAACTAGTAATTCTACATTCTATATAGTTTAAAAGAGGGTCTAGAAGTAAATAAATTGTTCAAATAAACTATTATTCTTATAAAATGGAGTTAATACCTTGCTTTTCCATCTTTTCCACTTGTTTTTATAGAATTACAGATGAAATCAAATTCAGAAAAGTCTGTTAAATCAGTCATGTAGTCAGTGATTCAATCAGAACTGTACAAAGCTGCTATGTTTCTACAAAATTTTGAAGAACAATAAATAGTAGTTCACACATTAAATAAACAGTAGTTTAACAAGGTATTTCTAAAATATATGTAATATCATTCACAATTTGGGATGTTAAATGTACGTGGGTGAAAATCTTCAGAAGTTCAACGACATGGTATGTAACATAAATGAAAAGATATCTGTCTTAAAAACATGTCAAATCATCTCCCAGAAATAAGTATCAGCATACTATCTTAAAAATAGATTATTTACAAATAGGAATTAAATACTTTAGAAATAAGTAAAATTTATTACACGGTAAAAAAAAAGAGAATATTCTCTGAACAAAGTCCTTGTAAACCCAGCTACTAAAATCTTTTTTTCCTTGTTACCTGTAATTTTTATGTGGAAGATTTCCCTACCCGTAGCTACTTCTTATTTCAGATTGATATTTTATAACAGCCCCTTTTTACCTGTCCTATAAAAAGAAACCTAAAAAAATAATGGAATTAGAAACCCATTGATTTTTATAATCTAAATGATTAATAATGTAGTTTGATAAGTGTACACTAAATGAAATATTTTCATTTTATTATGAAGAAATACATATGCCAAAAAGAATATCAAAAATAATAATACTTAAATAAGTAACAGTTACAGATTATAAATCAAATCTGTACACAAGTACAATTGTCTTAACACACCTTTAGAACCTACACATATACAGTGTTGTTCTTAGATTGTACAGTTTAAGGAACCCACATCCCCTTGTATCAATATTAAGAGGACACAGTGGAAATTTTGAGGGACACTCTTGAGAAATATATTTTTTTGTATTGAAAACAATCACTAGGGATGGACAATTATATTAAGTTGATGGAAGAGGATTGTGTTGCTGGTTACTTCCACACTTAAAAAAGTTATTGTTACAATTGTACAACACCTTTTAAGTTTCCAAAATGAAATCTTAAATAATCTGAATGAATGTGGTACATTAGACTTATGTCAGTTAGTTGTGCCCAACCTGGAATGTCATTGGTGAATGTATCACTAGCACACTGATATTAACATCATAGGAAGTAGGCTGGAGGTTCTAGTGGGTTAGATTATACTAGTACAGTAATTTTTTGTGTATTTTATTTCTCATTACTAACATAAATTATGCTAAAAATGCTCTTACCCTTTATTTAATTTTTTCATGTGTAGACTTACAATTATGAGCCTCAAACAACACAAAGAAATATCAAAATAGCCATGCACCTGGCCAGGATTGGTGTAGCTGGTATCTCAGTTGTTTGATATGGAGGTGAGGCTTGCCAATTTTGGATCTAGTAGAATTCCATGTAGTGGCCCTCTGATTAGTCAAAAGTGAAATTAATGTAGTCGTTTCTTGCTCAAAAATAATAAGCATCAGAAAGACTCATTTAGCAAATGATACATTATCATAAACATTACATATATTATCATATAATTACACACTTATTACATTGCAGACACATACCTTCTCTTAATAAAACTTATATATTTGTTACATCTTGTGCAATCATTTTGACTAAGCTTAAACTACAGTATATAATATAAGTTGCATGATATTGATTGTTCAAGGTGTTTATTTTTTACTGGTTTGTGCCATGGTGTTTTGTTAACTAATGTACACAAGTTACACTAAACTGGTTATTGTTGAGTGGCTTACAACATTGTTTATGTTAGTACTTATAAACTTGCTGAGCTGCAGTATATAAATACTTCACTGCGAAGTTAAAAAGAGATTTTTGTTAAGATGTTTTCCTGTATCTTCTTCCAGATAAACAAGATTTATCATTTTATAAAGTCTATCAAAGTTATCAGTTAAACAGATTTCTTCAAGGATTCACAATTTCTTGATTTTTAAATTCTAACTTCTGTTCCTCCTCCTCTCTATTCTTTTTCTGGTTGAGTCTCTTCTATTTCCCAGTTTAGAAACTAGGGTTCTGATGTGTTCTTTGATAAATGCCAAGCACTATTTGAAGATACATAGGTGTGTCTACCTCAGATTGATCAAATAAAGTCTTCATCCATGTTACCCCAAAGTTTGGTTTCTTGACATGATTCCAAATAACACAAGAATCCTTTCAAGATAAACAATCTAGGAGCTGAAATCGTGCCTAACACAAGAATATTTAAGTAAGATATTTCTCCTTTAATTTCTGTATCCCAGGCATACTCTTCCAAAGTGTCGGGGGGAACTGTAAATAATTCTGTATGATCCATCTTCTATTTATTTCTTAATCATACTGTTACCTAGCCTCCAATAAAGTTAACATTTGCATGTTGATGGACACTATTTCTTATTCAGCTAAACCATCATCATCTGGAATGTACACCTGACTGACATCAAAGTGATCAATAACGAATCAACATCTTCCACATCAGGACATGAAACTTTGTCATCAAAGGACTCAGTGATCATGTTTGAATCTATATAATCAGAGCCTTTATCAGTTTGTTCATTCCTAGTTCCACATTAAGGAGTTAGGTCTATTTCCTATGACCTGTGGTAAGCCATTCAAAATCAGGAGCTGACCACCTGATTCCAACTGACAAATTACATGATCCCACACCGATTTCTTTAACCACCTCACCCTAGGCTGTTCATCAAATAGTAAGGAATTAACATAATAAAGGATACAGGGCAAAAGCTTTCTACAAAGTGATGATGAGACAGGATGTACTATACATACCTCTGGACTCAATATCTGCTTCTGCTGCAATTCTCAGGTTTTACTTTTTCGTCTACTCGCTGCTAGTAGGAAGTAAGTGTCCTTTTCAGTTTAAATACCAGAGTGTAAGAAAGTTCAACCAAGCAGAGGTATGGTCCACATCAAGTAGTGGTTCATCAAAATTCATTATTTTGATGTCATACTTCTTATTGTAAAACTTTTCAAAGTTTTCAACTTCAAAATCAGAGAAGGCACTCTGTGGGATTAACTCTTGAGAAATTTCAGCAATGTAAAACTACCATAGCATAACAATTTACTGCATCTCTGTAGTCTTGTATTTTAAATTTATAGTTTCTTCTTCCAATATCTTATGTGGAACAATACTCTTTTACTTGTTAATTATGTCTGCAAACTCCCAGTTTACACTAAAAACATTATAACTTTCTTTGTTCACTAGGATGATGGATGATGTAAAACAATGCATTGGCTTCCTCAAGTTGAAATATTATAATTGTCAAGACAAAGAACAGTGGAAAATGTATAACTGTGGAGGAAAGCTAGAATCCCCAGATCCTCTTCTGAAAGCAAACACTTTCTTTAATGTATATTGCACCAGCCTGTGATGTAATCATCATTAGACTATAGCCCTTCATTAGTAGGAGGAATACACATCTTGCACACACAGTAATACTCTTTGTTCAAGGGTTGTGGCATGCACAGGAATTTAAATAGTATTATACACGAGGTAATAGCTCTTTGCAGCAAGGTGAGTAGTGTTTCTGAAAATTTAAATCTGAGATAATGCACTCCAGTTCTCCAAGGCCTTATCCTGATCAAATAAAAACTGTAAAAACTGCATATAGATGGCATCTCTTTGGTGGTCAAGCCTCCAAAACCTTGGGTTGTATCTGCAGGGTCAGGAATGTTGTGTCTTATGGTTTTTTGCTGCTCTGAAATTAAACAAGTGAATTTCATCTTGAATCTGTAGAGAATACAGCTTATCCCAAGAGTCGGGTAGCTCTTTTGTAGGACATCTTCAATCCTCTTGTCACCAGTCATCATAACCACAAACAGTTTCCTACACCACAGATAGTTGGGTATTTATTGTCTCATGAAGTATCAAAATTCTGCACACAGCTGGTGGAGTATTCGAGCCTCTCAAAAACAGCACAAGTCTGGAGCTGGAAGCTGTAAAGCAAGTTATCCTTTGAATTACTGAAAGCAATGAATCACAACTATACAGTGTGACTGGCTTACAAGCAGAATTGATTATAATTCAGAATGGTTGTTCCCCAGATAGATGGAAGAAAGCAAAGCAACTGCATGTTAAGACCATCACTTGAATATATAGCTAGCTAAGAACAAGTAATGCTAATTGAAAAAACTGAAAAACTCACAATAGAAGCAGCTATGTCAAATTTGGCACAACTTTACTGGCTGGATGTTAACCTCTTCTGCACTAGAAAGGTGAAAAAGGCCACCAATGGAAGTTTTTCAATGACATTCAGAGGGAATGAGACTTCTAGAAAATAAAGTACTGTGTGGTGTAGCTAGGATATAAGAGTATAAAGCCAGAAAGTCACTAGTAACATAAATAAAGGAACTCTTGTACATCCTGCAAAGCAGCTGTTCTCCTCATGAATTGTCAGTGCCTATCGGAACAACCTCTGGGAAGGTCTCCTAGTACTCAATCTAGATTTTCCATAGTTCTGTAAATATTCCAACTTATCTATAAGTTTAGACTTCTTAAATTTATGTCTTTAGTAAGCCAATTAAATTTGATCTTCCCTCTTATCTTTTTCTTCTTTTAGGAACATGTTTATCATGTTTAAAGTTATTTGTTTTTAAAATTTCCTAAACTGTTTCATATCACCTGTCAATTTACTGTCTCAATTTACTTATGATAAATCTTGTCTCCTGACCCCAAAATTGACTTTATTAAAGTTGGAAATTAAAGTTTTATTTTCTTTTATCTCAACATATACCAAATGATCAAATCTAATTATGCAATGATCACTTGTTCTCATGTGTTCTCCTAATTCAACTTTAGCAGCCATATGCTCATTAATAGTCAACAATAAACATAAACTGGAATTCCCCCTGACCATTTGATATAGAAAACCATCCTGAATCATTTATTGATATTTTTATTCTATCAATCCCAATGTCACATTTTAGCATAAGATATCCTTGTTATTCAGCTCATAATGTAATTTCTCTGACAGTTTAAAAAGTATGTGTTTGATACTCTATAATTTTATTCACTTACTTTAATTATTGACAAAATATATAAAAGTTATTCTAACTTTCTGTAACTTATATAATATAATAATTGAATATTACCTGTAAAAAATAACATGTACAATATCATAAAACTATAAAAATTATATGCTCATAAGTTTTATAATTTGAAACTTGGGATCAGTGAGAGACAGAAAAAACAAAAAAATCAAAACTTTTTTTTCTTTGTTCATTTAAAACTTGATAAAGCTTTAACAGCAAGTACTACAGAAGGGTCATTGAATATACTATATAGTCTAGATCAGTGGTTCCCAACCACCAGCTCACAAGGGGGGTTTCAAGCAGTCTACAATACAGTTTAAAACAAAATAAAACAAAACAAAATAAAACATAGCTTCTGTATGAAAAATACTGTTTTACAAAGTTACATAAAAAAAATTTTTACAGTTGTAGTAGTGAGTAACACTAACAGTCAATGACTAAATGAGTTTCTCAGTGAAACATGTGGAGTATTAAAAATTTAATTGATAAACGTTAGGCCATCTAATTCAAAGTATTAATGATCGCCATTTAATAAAAATTTTTTTTTAAATGTATAAAGCCAAAATTTATTTCAACTGTAAATCTTATTTACTGCAGACTGTTATTACAAAACAGAACTCAAAGTTCAATAGTAATAGTTACATTCTGTCATCGATTGTCTTGTAATACGAGAATATTAAGCCTAGACTGTTCTTGACGTTGTAATCTCTAGTCTAAAACTTAAAAGGCAAAAATTGTAAGTAGATCTCCTCTCCTTACTTTAGATAGGGTTCATATGACCCATAACCTTATATAATTAGTTTAAAATATACAGCAACATAAAAGGCAAAATAAGATCTTCTTTCATCAAAACAAACAATTTTTATATCAATATTATATAACAAAATAACTGACCTGTCTATATATTTCTTTTGTAATTGTTTATGCTTTCTCAAACGTCTCTCAAATAGAAAGCAGACGATATTTTGTAACAGCGTCCTCTCGTGAGGAATAAGCTTTTTAAATTTCAACCCATTCAAAGTGTATTGCTAAATCGATAAGTAAGAGATATTAAGAGTTCTGCTGTCAGTCATTTCATCTTATATTATTGGCCTCAAACAGGTGTGAGTGGAGTTTGAAATATGTGTCATTGTCAATTTGTTCAACTGTCACTGCTTTGGTATTTGAAGTTAACTGATCAGTAAACACGGGTGTGATACAGGTGAAGCGAAACACGAAAAAGAAGTTTCTTTAGATGAATAGGCGAGGAACCAAGCAAAATAAATAATGATAATGCTATTATGCCACCGGTGGCTTTGAATACAGATTTTATTAATGACAAATATTATACATGAATCGAATCCTGCTTTAGCTGCAGCTAATCAATTTATCTTGAAAATATCACAAAATAACATACGGGTATCTAAAAGCCACACCGCTGTAACGTATTCTATCGTTGAGCAGGTTCTTTTGGATTATTTGCAAAAATAATGCCAATTTCAGTCTACTTAACGATAGAGAATTAATTTACTTTTGTTTCTCTAACATTTGATACAGGATGCGTTCCTTTTAAAACAAGTTGTAGGCCTAAATTCAAAAACAAAGTTTGTTTATTTCTTCAATTTCGTTCAGAGCTATTCCAGGGTTATCTGCGCTAGCTGTCCCCCTTTTAAGAAGTAACAGACTAGAGGGAAAACAGCTAGTCAAAACCACCCACTGACAACTTTTGGACTATTCTACTAATGAATAGTGGGGTTGACTGTCACATTATAACAAGAAAGTATATTAATGATATACCGAACTTCTGGGCTTAGCATGGCCAGGTGGTTAGGGCGCTCGACTCCCAGTCTGAAGGTTTCGGAGTCGAAGCCTTGTCACTAATCATGCTCGTCCTTTTAGTCATGAGAACATTATAATGTTATGATCAATCCCACTATTCGTTGGTAAAAGAGTAGACCACGAGTTGGCGGTGGGTGGTGTTGACTAGCTGTTTTCCCTCTAGTCAATCATTGCTAAATTAGGGACAGCTAACCCAGATAGCCCTCGAGTAACGTTACATGACATTTAAAACAAACCAAATTAAACCTAACTTATAAATAGGTTACTTACAGAATTTCCATGCTAATCGATGGATTAACTTAAGAGACGCGATAACTATAACTAAAAATCCGAACTGAACCACTCACTAAATATTTCGCTGAATTCTAATTGAATTTTCACACACTCATTGTTCATATTTATAATGTACTCTCGTTTTTCCAAATTGTATGAAATTGCTAGGTCATCATATCATCATGAGGTTTCTAGATATTCCAGAATTACATTCATATATTTTCTACATCTAGCGTCATCATCATGATCAGTAGCTCCTTTTGGTTTACAGCATTGCTCCCTTCTTGGATTGTGAAGTCCTTTGAACAACCTTGATACACAAATAAAACAGTACCCTAGAGCTTCCATTTACCAAGTCTTTTTGGTGGTGATTTTCTTCAGAGGCCCATGGTATGCAGATGGGGCGACCCTTGTCCCTTATCGTCACCAGCTGTTCTATTGCTGGGAGAGTTCCTCCTACTTAAATAATCAAGTGAATCCACTGGCAGCCCCAAATTTTATTGATCTTCTGGAAGTGGTCTCAACAAGATTCTGCAAACAATCCCCATTAGACCCCATATGGAGACTCACATTGACGAAACACTCGCAAACTTAAATGCTAAATGATCTCTTATATGTCTAGAGTACTTCTTGTGTAAAATCATATCCAATCTTAGGTGCACCCAAACCACTTTGATCTCTATATTTACTTCAATTTTAAAACTTCCAAAATATGATTTTAGTTGATTATTTCTAATGCCTTTTACAGGTTAATGCCAGTTTTCAAATTAAATCATTTCAGGCAAACTGTGGGCCCCTACAACCCTTTGAACCTCAAATTAATCCCAAGACTCTCTTGAAAATGTGTTTCTTCATTTATATTTCGAGGGGTTCAATAGTCTACATTCAAAATATCACACTGTTTTGTCAAACATTATGGAAGAAGATAAAAAATCAGACTAAATTTATATATATACATCTTACATGCATAGTTGGCTCTCTCTAAAGTTAATGTGCATTTCAGATGGACCAAGGAGTGCTAGCATAGATTTCTGTCATTGAAGAATGTTTTAATGTAATTATCATGTAATACTATTAGTTCCTGTTAGATACAGTTTCTAATGACAGTACAGTAGGGGCAGTGCTATTGAAGTTGGAGAATGGAGCTAAATGAGTGGTAACATATACAAACCATACACTTACAGCTCCTGAATGAAGATACTGCACAATAAATATCTGTTTGTTTGTTTGTTTGTAATTAAGCACAAAGCTACACAATGGGCTATCTGTGCTCTGCCCACTACGGGTATCGAAACCCGGATTCTAGCATTGTAAGTTCGCAGACATACCGCTGTGCCACTGGGAGGCTGCACAATGAAGAAAAACTGCTTGCAGTGGTAATTTTCGTTAAGCACAACTAGCATTATTTGTGTGACAGAAAACTCATCCTCAGAATCGATCATATTGTTACGTCTCCGTTCGTTAGTTGATTTTCCGTAACTTCGTTCTCACGAAATTTTAGCGACACAAGTCTTTTTTTAATAAAACTGGTT